TTTAGACTATGGCTCATGTAGTCTTCTCTCAGGGGTTGCCCTACTACCCCCCTGCTAGGTTACCCCCCTCAATGAGGGTTACTTAGGGATCGTGAGGCCTAATGAAGTTTAATTAAGGGGAGCCTAGGGACCCATGGTTCTCTTGGGTTATAGTCCTCCTTAAGTAGGTAGAATATGGGGTATATATGCGGATCTTATTATAATATACCCAAAGCCAGGTTCTGTCTACTTAAAGGGGACTATATCCCTAAACCCTAAACCCTAAATCTATATTCTATCTACTTAAGGGGGACTATGTGCATGGTTCTCCCGTTTTGCCAGGCGCAGGCTTCGGATGGATGCAGGCAAGCAGAGGACGACGCTAAGGTCAAAACGCTGGCAGCAGAGCTGGCTGCAGCGGAAGCAGATGCAGAAGAGACTTTCGGTTGCCTTTGTGTTAAGGGCTTAGGGTTTAGGAGGGGATGGATATATATATATATAATTATACATATATAATTATACATATATAATTATACATATATGTATTATATATATAATTATAGGGGTATATAGGGATGATAGAGTGTTAAATGGAGATTAGCTCATGTAGAATGACAGGTCAAATGAACTGGAAGCTATGTTGGGCTGCTAAAGGTAAATACCTTGAATAATGGAGAATGAAGTGGATGAGAGCATGGAAACTCTAAACCCTAAACCCTAAACCCCTAAACCCCTAGACCCTAAACCCTGAACCCCTAAACCCCTCTAACGGAAACTCCTGTTGCAGAGTGGTTATAGGGAGTAGGATATGCGAAGAAACTTGGTGGCCTTCAGCCTTTTGGCTCCTAGCACTTGATTTGATGGGTTTCCTACTAGTTTCATCAGGGATGCAACCGAGTAGTATTTTATTTGGGGATACTATGGTACCCATTATAGAGTAAGATTATATCCTCCTTTTGGGTATAGTATCTTATATAAGGAATGTAATCTTACTAGGTTCAACCACTAAACAAACACTATTCAAATGATTTGGGTGGTTGTCAAGATTATGGACCCTTTTTGGATCCCAGTTATAGTACGGCACCTAACATTTAGGGTACCCAAAAAAGGACCATAATTTTGACAACCATCCATTTACAGTTAAGGAGCCTCCGCGAGGTGACCGACCTGGCCGCACTGGCGAGTATCAACCCCGGGGAGACTTGCTTCTGGGTTGCTGTTTAAGGAACTTAACTTCAGCTACCATGATATGAGTATATGGTACATAATGGAGTTTCCTTGTTATAGTAGTTTGCCCTAAAACCCTAAACCCTAAACTCTAAACCCTAAAGTCTAAATCCTAAACCCTAAACCCTAAAGTGCAACCCAGGCTTTGTACCACAGCTGGAGCAGGTGTCCGATGACCGAGAGATTTGGGCTCTTCAAGCACACGTGGCCACCCTCAAGGACCCCATGAGCCCCCATGTGGAGCTATAGTCTAAACTCCTTAAAGGGGGTTCCTTAAAGGGGGTTTATATAGGGTTTAGGGTCCAGGATTTAGGGTAACCCAGTTTCCATGCCCTTTTCCCTTCGATTTTTCATTGTTGGGGTGTATGGGAGTATATTGGGGCATTCTCCCTCAAAGACTTTTGCAATGTCGTATTATCCTTCAAGAACCCTATATTTTGGGGTATAATCCTTTTCAACCTCCATGCAATGTGGCCCTAAACCCTGAACCCTAAACCCCTAACCCCCACACTCTAAACTTTCCACCCCCCCTTCAAAAAAAAACACTCAAGGCCGAAGTGCAGCGTCTGCAAGAACTGGCTTCGCGTGCGTCGCAAGTCCGTCCAGTCGACGTCAAGTCGGAGGCTGGGTTTCAGGATTTCAAGATTTACGAATTTGGGCTTTAGGGGCTTAAGGGGTTTGGGGTTTCTAGGGGCTTGGGGGTTTAGGGGTCTAGGGCCTGAGGGGTTTAGCGGTTTAGGGTGTCAACACAGAGGTTTAGGGCTTTAGGCTTTCAGGGTTTCAGGTGTGGGGTCTCAAGGTTCAGAGTGTGAACATGATTTTCATTTTGCGCAACGTAACTCCTAAACATCCCAATGAAGCAGAAAAACCCTAAACCTGCACCCTCAATGAAAGGGTCCACCACAAAAGACCATAAAAGCGACCCAAACCTTCCCTAGGAGCCCAGAATATCCAGAGCTGACACCGGTGACCTCTCGGAACACCACCGCTGCGATATCGAGGTTTGTCCTGCTTGCATTCATAAGGGGTTAAGGCTTTAGGGTTATGTAGGGTAATATTGGGTGGAACGGAAAAAGAAATTGGAAGTTACTATTTTGCTTTTAGGGCTTAGGGTTTAAGGATATTCCCCCCAATAGTGGAGAATCAAAAGGAAAAGAACATGAAAATGATGTGGACAATGAGCTTATATAGGGTTTGCATTAGTGAATATTCCAGATATATTCGAGTATACCACAATGGGAATTAGGGTTTCTAGTATACCTGATGTCGACCCTGGTGAGAGGTTACGACGGGACGGTCAGGCTATGCCAACGAGCATACATGTAATCTCGGCAATGGATGTTATTCGTGCCTGACAAACCCACAGCGGATGTGGCGCCTCTACGGCACGGACCAGTTTGAAGTCGATTTTGAAACGAAAAAAAACACCTCCCCATCAACTGGTCCGATGGTGGCTCGGCTGCTGAAAGTTCACCCCAGGAAGTATCAGTGTCCCAACTCAATCCTATCGCCAAGGCCTGTACACGCACGCGGTCAACATGCCCGCCCCGCATGCCCGCCCAGCTTATGTGCTAGGAATTCATAGGAGGTGTAGCAAGGCCCTCGCTGGCTCAGCTTGTTTGCTCGGCGCTTTTGATATTGTATGTCCAGCCAGACTACAGCATCGCAGAAACACAGCCTGAGATTCAGGACGAGCCAAAACTGGAACTTCGGCCGGCAATTTCCCACGAACCCATATCCAGTGCACTACGCGAGCGACATGTGCTCCATGCAAGGCACTGGCCAGTTCTTCAGGGTCTTGAATCACAAGGCAGCAGTGCGTGCGCCTGCAAAAAGAAGAGCAGGCGTTCACAAAAACCTGCAATTCCAGACGTTGTGAGAGTGGGCGAGCGCAAGGCATGACACGCGACACTACCCGCAAAGCATCGTAGGCTCAGATTCATCATCAAGTACACACCCGGACCGCTATAGACTCAACGCAGCAACCTGTACGAGCTGAGAAGTAGGCGCCGCAGATTCAACGCGCCACACCTATAGAAAACAGTATGCAACAATGTCATCGCACCAACGGGTTCACCCACTGAGCCATGTAAGGATGTATGCGCATATGCATACCGCGCATGAAGCCTTCAAAATACCGCACAACATATGACAGCCGTCGCGTCATATCGAAACTGAACGCAACGCACTTGCGGAAAAGTCAAACAAGCTTTAAGACAGGCAGTAAGATCACTTGTCACTACTATCCCTTCCAGAGAAACAAATACAGCGTGCTGCTCGAGTCAGAGATGGTTTCTTGGGCAGGCGGACTCCGTTCCAGCCAGCTGCAAGAGTTCGCAGATGTGGTGGAGGACATGCCCACGGTTGCGTGGAAGCAGGCGACAGTCCATAACAGGCACGCCTGGCTGGACAACGACGACAGAGTGGGACTGCCAAACGACGCATCTTGTAATGCAAACATAGAGACGACAAGCTTCTGAATACTACGATAGCAGCCCCGATCATGCACACGTGCAGCCATGCTCCGGCGCGTGCCAGATCAGCACGTGGTTGTGGCTTGTCACATGCAGGCCGCTCGGGATGTGCTGCAGCTGACCTTCTCAACACTGTCAGGAGCTCGTGTGCAGGATGCAGACGCAGTGCACAGGAAGTCGAATGTTGCAGAAGAAATCATGTATTGTCCAGCGCGTCATGAAGGCTGGCCTATTCGCGTCAATCAACCAAGCGGTTCAAGTACTGATCAGGGATCCAGCAGTCCTCTGGTCAGACGAGATTCGTCGCAAGCCAGCCAGAAGACGTCTGAGAGGCAAAACGGACGGACGTGTCTACCACGAATCTGCAAAGAGCGATGTCAATGGGAGTGTTTAATAGTAAGGGGGGTGGAAGGTTTCAACATTAAGAGGAGGAGATTAAGAGGCGGCGTTCTGCGAGTAGATCTCGTATGCCTTGAACCTGAAGGCGATTTCAGAACTCTAAAACAGGCTCTCAGATGTTTTTATCTGCGTGTCTTACAAAGTGCATTGTCACTGTAGGCATGCCGCAATCCATTGAGCACGTTGGCCACCATGACCCTACATGAGGGCGAAGCCATGACAAGCCCTCGAAAAACCCTCAGGAAAACATCGTAAACCCATCTTGGAAATCCTAGGAAACCGGAGGGAAACCCACGTAAAGAACCCACAGGAAACCCAAGGAAACCCTAAACCAAGACTCGGGAAACCATCGGAAACTCCCTTTTATACCGGGCCGATTCACCGTTTGGCGAATTACAAAGCGAGCGTGCCGGCCGCAGGCCCATGTTTGTGTTCAAGCAGACTGTGCAATCGAGCATGATGCTCAGGCGCTGGGAACCATCGCGTCCCACTTTTGCAAGGCTGGAACCCACTGGGACCCACTGTGGTGTTGATCCAGCCGAGCAAAGTTTTGGCCTGCACCAGTCGCATCCTGTCGAGGGTTTCCAGGCTCGTTTTCAAGCCCGGATTCCCAACGCAGAGCCAGCTTCATGATAAAGTGCCGTGAATGTAAATGTAAACCCCATCCTGGTACTTGTAATGGAAGAGCAAGCCTTAAGTTTCGGATTTAGTTTCGGGCTTTAGGGTGCAGGGTTTAGGGTGTAGGGTAGGGTTTCCTTTAAAAGTCCGGTTCGGGTCCGCGTTGTAGTAGAGTATCAAGCCCCAAAAAGAGAGCATAATGGTTCAGCTTTTTCTTGGTCTTTGGGAACCGTTCAACATAATTATTCCCGCTCAACATAATTATTCCCTATGATTCCCCAACAGGAACCCTAGAATCTTCCAATAGCCTCTATATTCTAAGGTCACGAGGGCCCCCTGTTTCCAGAAACCATTGAACCCATAATCTTAAACTTGTGTACCCCTTTATATACCCTTATATAATTCCATACAGCTTTACATGACCCTACGTCGGCCTGACCCTGCACCTGAGACCCTGAACCTCGCACCTACATGCACCCTGAACCCCGAACCTTACACCCAAAACCTTAAACCTTGCACCTTACGTCCTACAACCCTACAACCCTTTTTTGCCAACTTTGTCAGGTTCCAGGGCCCGCTGCAGTGACCACGCAAGGATCAAGGCCAGGTCTCACAAAGACACAGGTGGTTGTCTAGGAGACCCACGGTTTTGTTGGGATTTGGTAATGGAGAATCTAACGGAAAAAATGGAAAATGACATGGAAGCTA